ACCATTTTAATTTGAAAAAAAACTAAAAAATTAACATGATTATTAATGAGATAAATCCAATAAGATAAACGATTAATTAGCTCAAATATTATATTAATTATATCTTAAAAACCCAGTTAGAAAAATGTAGATACGAAAGTGATACGAATGTATTATATTGATTAGTTTGTTAGTAATTTGATTATATGGAAGTTAAGATAAAATGTAATGTACCCAAAAAATTTGATGTGATCCTTTTCTTTCAATGTTTGATTTTAAAAACATAATAACCAAATTTTGATTATATCATATAAAAAAACTAAATAATAAATATTTATCAATATATTTTAAATTATAATTTTGAATTTCAAATAAAGTAAAAGACGAGATAATTCAAAATTTTTTAAAAAAATTTTGTTATATATATATATATATATATATATATATATATATATATATAGTCACGCTCCGGTGAGAATGATTCATAGGGAAAGAAATAAAAATAAATAGTGACCTTTAGATCATATGATCTAATGGCTAAAAAGAAAGCCAAATTATACATTCATTAAGGGTATTATGGACATTACAAATACCATCCAATTAACCCAGCCACATCACCACGCCACCTCACTACACTCCTTATCACACAAAACACACGCACACTTACACAGAACACACGCACACACGCACATAGACACACACATACACACGCTGACACAACCACCGGTCACCTGCCACATCTGCCGCCCTTCCAGCCGGCGAACAACCTCCCGCCCTTCCCGCCGACAACCACTGCTCCGCCGCCAACGCCAAGCCTCCTGCCACCGCCGGAGATGCCAGATGCGCCGTCCACAACTCTTCCCCCTGCAACACACACACCCGGGATCTACCATTGCCACTGAAATTCTCTCCGACAGCACATTTATCGCCACCCACGACCTCCACTCCGCCGCCAATGCAGGAGCATAATCGGCACCGCCGGAGCCGCCGGATATGTCTTCCATGAATCTTCCGTTGTAAATATAAAAAGTCGTCACTGGCGACTACGTCGTCGTCGCCGCCCAATCTACCTGGCCCTGCTCCTTATACTCCAACTACTTCACCTCCGGCTGGCCCGACGCTTCCCCTCGAGGCAAGACGATTCCCTGCGAGATGCCACCTCAACCTCTAATCTTCACCGTGGAAGCCGGCGATGAACGTTGCCGGAGAACGCGTGTCGATCGGACAGTCTGACGAGAAAGCCCGGGCCTGTGGCTGTGGGATTGCATCATTTTCAGGTTTTGAGAATTAGATATTCTCAAGGGGCTAGATTGCAAATTCACAATTGTTTATTAAATGTGAATTGAGTACCTGGGCATAAAATGTAATTTAGATAAACTTTATAACAAAACATAATTCTTTATATATTGTATGCATATTAAATAAACATATGGAGAGATTGAACAGCTTTATATATTCTTTATATTTTACTTATATGTATTAGAATAATAAATAAACATATGAAATAAAATTTGTTGAACAAATAGTGTACATTATTTTAGCGCACATTAGTAATGGACTGACTGCACAATAGTAACTGTCAGGTTGCACTCGAAACCGATGAACTAACAATTTAGGTCCGGACTTTATATTTAGGTTGATTATCAGCTTTTACTTTTAAAATTTTAGTTATTTTGATTCGATATTATCTTTAAAATAATCGAACCAATCGAACTATATATATAAAAAATATTTGTTTTTGATCTATATATGCATATATTATTTGTTTTTAAACGATCAATAATATAAAATAATACATAAAAAATAATAAATATTAAGTACATTATTTATTATATAATTAATTTCATAAATACCCAACAAAACTAATCAAAATATACATCATTGAAAAATCACAAGATTAAAATACACGTAAAAACATATCGACTCAATATAATGCACAATAACGTTATACTGGATGCACGCTTGTGTTTGTATGCTTGCACTTTATTGTTATTTCATAAATTATCATTTTTCAACCAAACATAATACATAAAAATAAATAAAATTATTAATATACTAAATAAAATTTTAATATAACAAACAAGAAAAATTAATAATTTAGGATAGTTTACTTAAACCGAATAAACCTAGTAAATTATGTTCAACTTCATCCAGTTTGTGACAAAAGTCCAGTCGGACCAATAAGCACAATATAGGTCGGCACCACGCACCATAGCGTTATACGAATTGCACCTTGACAACTGTTAGCTCGCACATTATATTTTGCTTACATATGTATTATATTTTTTTAATCAAACATATCATAAATTAATAATAAAAATTTTTAAAACAATAATATGCTTTTTTATAATTCAAATAATAATTTATTTTTGTGTATTCCGTTTTAACCGTTATGTCGGTTCATTTAGATTGTATTTGGACAAGGGATCGGTAAGTTTATGATTTCTTTGAATTTCAACACGATTAACTCAATTTTGACATTTCGTTCAGTTAGTATGTCAAGACCAAGAATAACCTAAACGAAGGGACATTTGGATAAATTTTTAAAATTTTATATGCATTGGCATTGAGAAATTTATGATTTTCTAAAAATATACCGTTATTTTTCAAAGTGCAGTTTCTCACATGGTAATATGCAATTTATATATCATTATTGTGCATTTATTAAACTTTTTGAAAAATATGCCTTTATTTTTTTTAAGCGCAATTTATCACAAGGTAATGTGCAATTTATATATCATTATTGTGCATCTGATAAAATTTCGTTATATTAAAGATTGACCACGCACTAAATCGAAAAAAATATATTAACATTTTACAAATTGCAAAAAAGTCCCTGAAATATATTAAATTCTTATCGAAAAAACCCCCACATCCAACAAAATGAACACCTGCAACTACACAGCCAGAATCCATGTCGAATCCTATACAGACGCTGCCGCCCATGCCGTCCTCGGCGTCAATGTCCGGCTACAACCCGACGCCGGCCTCAACCGGACTCGTTAGCGGCAATGTCGTGGGAGAATGTGTTGGGTTATGCCAGGGCACTCTGTGTCGCATCCATCTCCGGTGACGGCCTGCGGGGGGGATCGACGACAAAAATCGTGATGGCAGACGGCGGCTTCTGGCTAGATCTCGTGACTGATGTCGACGACAGGTGAGGCGTTGACATGGCTACTGTCGGCAAAAACGGGCGTGGTGAGGTTGTGTCGACGAACGGTGGTTGGCGACGGCGGACGGTGTTCGACGGATGCGGGTGATAGCCTACTTGTTTTCGCCGGAGTCTCTTGGTTACATCCGCCTCCTGGTGATGGGCTGCGGCGGCGGGCTGCAGAATCACGGTGGCGGAGCTCCGCCGCTGAGTAGACGACGGCCGGAGATCTAAGTGTGTGTGTGTGTGCGCAGGTTTATGTGTGTGTGTGTGTGGGTGGGCGGGTAGATGATGACGGGAAAAGTATATGATTAGGTTTAATGGGAGATAGTGGTGGGCCCCTCCTGGTGTATTTTTATTTAATGTCTAAATTACCCCTAATAATGGTCAAATCTACTTATTTATCACTATATATCTATTTATTTACCATAATGTCATTAATGATTGACCATATTTTGACTTCATCTTAACCATTGATATGGTGTATCCAATGCACCAGATTTATTCTTATTTCTTTCCTAGAACACCATTCTCATATGATCTTATCTCTCTCTCTCTCTCTCTCTCTCTATATATATATATATATATATATATATATAACTAGATTTGGTGACGCCGTGCACGCACGACAGTCTAACATCCCGTGTAAAAGTACAACAAAAAATTGTCCTAAGTTGTTGTAGCTTTTATTATAGCGTATGTTGGAAACCTGTTTACAAGAGAGAACAAGAATTATAGCTATAAAGGGAATACAAATTGTATTTAATACAACTTTTTTTTTACTGGTGTTCTGTTCAAAAGGGTAAAGGCAAACACAAGATTGTGACCTTATTGCAGATTTCACAGGTGATATCGCCTTTTTTGTTGCACCATCTCTGAACACACTTCCTATGAGCAAACTACATTACACAACCAAAGGAGTTGAAAAGTAAATCAGTTTTCGGAGATTCTACAAATAGCTTAACAAAACATATGAGCAAGGGTTTTTTCTAAAAATAGATTTCTCTAGCAGGTTGTGTTTTGATTTTTCATGGGCCGATTAGAGAAATTGGGATGGATGTGGTGTTGGTGTGATGTTTTTTTTCGGTCCTAACTTCCCATTTTCTTGTTAGTCAAATCAGTTCCTCACTACAAGAGAGAATAAAGACATCGTTATAGAATTTGATACATTTAACAAAATTCAAAGGCACTTCCATAAGAAAACAGTAGCATGAAGCTTTATAAAATTCACAGCAAGGGATACGACGTACAATGAAGGAAGTAACCAAACAAAATACACATGAAAGTGGGATGAACCTGGAGCTGCAACTTGTGTGCGAGTGGAGGACGTACGATGTTTGTGTTCCTCATCGTACAATTTCTTGTACATTGGCACCAAATATGCATGTAAGAACAATACTCAAAATCAAGATACAATCACAGTGCTTGGAAACCGTATTCCAATTTCACATCGAATGGAAGACTCACAGAGCTATGAAGTAACTCAATCATTTATGACTGTTCCTCTGCTCTTTGTAACACTGCTTGAACTTTAGATGTGGTTTCATCCTTAAGCATCTGTAGTTGTCTCTCATGCTTATCCTGGACATTTTTAGGAAAGTATGAGCTCAATATAGTAGTCGTGAAGAAAAACAAAAAGAGAAGAATAAACAGTAAACACAACTACAAAAGAAATGTGACAATGCCTTCCACTCTGCTTCTTTCTCCTCAATCTGGCCAGAAAGGTTACGGAGAAGACTCCGTAGGTGGACATTCTGCTCAACTAATCCATTTATGTCCTTAAATGTTAACTGCAAAAAATACCATCTCAATGCCCATCAGTTTTGACGTCTAAAATTGGAAGTGTCTATATAGAATGGAATGAGAATACCATTTACCAGCCGTTCAGATATTATATCTTCAGAACCGGATGAAGAAAGCGACAGTACAGTGGGACCACCAACCATCTCATCATCGTGATAACGAGAAACTGATCTGCAACGCAACTGAACATCTCGACATTCTTTTAAGAGAACAGCCACCTGACAAGAAGATAAATGCAAGTGACAATACAATTTTAACCATAGCATGCAGAAACCAAACAATCAATAAAATGTGTATATGTAAATATGTAAAATCTAAGAGAATTATTATATCAAATTCCTTGCTCGGGGAGCTACGTAGCAGCATCATAGCATTAATTAATAAAAACACAAAATGGATATTACCTCTTTCTGGAGGTTAACGATCTCCTTCTGTGCAACAGTATAATCACGCTCTTGCTTCCTTAAGCTTGTCTAAAAAGCAAAGTACAGACCTCAAAGATGAACTTGGAAGAAACTGATGAGTTTACCCAAATTTTGAAATAGAACGCAAACCTTCAGATCCTGAATGGTCATCTCCAACCAGTATAAGTTGCACGTATCCTCATTGATTAGTACGACTCGTCCAATCTTTACGTTGCTTAGGTTGAACCTAGCCGCTCGCCAGTATCCATAAGTCAGCTCATCGGACGGAGTGACAGACCGATGAATGATTACAAATGGAACAAACATAAAAAGAAGAAGATCAATGGAGCTCACTTGTCCCAATTAATCTCCGTTTGCCTGAAGGATTGTGTGCGTTTTCTTGCCGACTCCATCGCAACTTACCCACAGAAAGTACAAAACGACGCAAGAACAGAAATAACACTTTCACGAAGAACAAATCATCGTTTCCAATAAGGAAAAATGAGAAAAAAATAGCTTAAGTCAAAAAGTATCTGCAGAGGAGGTTGGAGTTTCTTGTGGATGAATTGAATTAACCCTTAAAACCGTAACTTTATAATATAAAATCGCAATACCTAGAACATCAATTTATTAATCATATGAATAATATGAACCCAAATCTTCCACCACAACAATTATCAAAACACTCAATTGCTCTCGAAAACACAACAATCGAGTGTTTCAGGCACAAGAATCTAATGAGAAAAATCTCAAAATAAATGAAGCAACGAAAAAACAGCATGAACTGAAAAGAACAATACTGCGAAGCGATTTGTTCTCACCTTCCCGATCGGATTCTTCTTCATGAATGTTGAGAAACGACACAACAGTTTGTGGCATAGGAACTAAACTTCGTCCTCGTCCTCGCTGGAGAAGCACATCGACATGTCGACATATGAGGAGCCTACGTGGGTCGACAGCTCCTTGACCGGAATTGGGCAGGTTCTAAGGAGGGCAGATGGTCGAAATCCGGGTTCTTGGTGTCGGGTTTATTTGATAGCAGGATGGTGATGGTCAACAACTCTGGACACTCTACTGCTGAAAGCGGATCGATTCTCAGATGCGCTAGGGCGGAGCTTCGAGGAGGTGTCGGATGCCCTGGGGCTCGATTCGCGGCAGAAGAAGGTGAAGAAGCCTATGATAAAGCCTTTGTCGGAGCTGGCTGAGTCGGTGAACTGGTAGTCAGGCATCGTTCGCGTCTTCATTACAGTTCCTATTGAGAATTGTAAATGAGAGGGTGGTTTGCACCGTTTTGGGAGGCCTCCGGATGGGGCGGGTTGGTGGTTATCTCACGATAATGCTGGGGTGTCCCACCCTCGTAGTGTCGTGATCAAGCGTTAGTTTAGTGCTTCCTTTTCTGTACCAAAAAAAAAAAAATTAAATTCACCAATGAATTGTATTGGAAGCCACAAATGAGCAAATAAGGACCAAAAGAAAAAAAAAACCCACATGACTGCAACCAAAATAGCAAAATAAAGTGGCTCAAATTGTAAATAAAATTTGACACGTGTCATTTTTTCAAGAACACAAAATTGGACATGTATCACCCATAGAAGGGCACTAACTCCTTCATTTATAGATAAGAGAGACATCATTTTCCTCATATGAGCAAAAATCGCCTGAGTACAATAATAGACATTAGAATCACCAGTCAAACATAAGCTTTCACATAACAAGGATATGAGAATATAAATCCTTAAGACACCAGGCCAACCATTTTACATGGACTTCAAATTACTACACTTAAAAGTTAGACAAGCCTGAAAAGACACAAACATGAATATAAAAAGATTACACCGCGAGTTCGGCCATTGCTCTGGCTGCCTACTTAACCAATTTTGTGTGTGTATTTTGTGGCACAAAAAGAAGAAGTATGAGCAAATATATAAACAGAAAGAGTAAGCAAATGGGAAAGAGAGAAAATTTTATTCAAACATCTTCAATTCAGAAACCAAAAACTCTACAATGTATTATTCAATAAAACACAGGGAGATAAAATCCACCACAAAAAAAAAAAGAGTAGAGAAAGTTTAAGAAACTTCAAAATTGAATGTCCAAATAGCTAAAAGCACAACATAATACTACCCTTACCACAATACATATGATGTTAGAAGGATCTTTGAATTTCTAACAGTCACATAAGCCTAAAGTTGTTCCTTTTCAGGTATATGTAATCTCTTTCCCCACAATAAAAATAATTACTAGTTGTAGCTAGTTTTCAATAATCATCCAGCATAGCATAATGAAAAAAAATAAATCCAAATTTAACAGTAAACAATACAAAAGCTAAAGAAATAAGTCAACTCCAACCTGTTTTTGATTTTGTATCCTTCCTCGACTCAGCCAGTTCCCAAAAGTAGCAATACCGAACACAGGCCCTCAACCCACAATCTAGAACATCCACATTTGGGTGGCTTCTGTCCACGAGTGGGCCTTCATCACCAACCATCATCCAATATTCGCTTGGCCTCAGAGCCGTAGAATATCCAGTTTTTTACTGCAAAAATTGGTTCACTTTTCTTATCTTTTCATCTTTTGTGGAAACTAAAATATATCTTCCCAGTTACCTTTTCTCTGAGGGCTTGAATGATGCCATTGAAAGTGGCAGCCACGCCAATGAAGTTAGTTATAACACCACCTATTAGTAGGACTCTCTTTTGGCCATCGAACTCGACAGTTGCACACTGTAAAAAAAAAACATTTCATTTATTTCAACACATTTCCACAAAAAAAAATGTTTTTATAATAAGAAATTTTGTTGTAGTAGAGAAGAGAAATCAAGTAATTAAACATGTATTTCCATTAACTATAATGGGAAAAGTCGAACAAGAAATCTAGAGAACCATTCTCAGAAAATCGGATGGCTGGTCTCGCCCGGGCCCGAGAGAGGGCCGAAATTGTGATGACGACATTAGTTAAATGGAGACCACCAGGTTCTTCCCGGAGGTCGACACCACCAACCGATCTGTTCGAGTTTTGATACCACCAGTGCCGACGCGGGCGGCGACTGCATGGCGACTCGATGTTGATGCCCATCTTGAGATCTCAAATCCACCATCATCAAAATCAAACACACACACACACAAACAAATTGTTGACATTACTTTCCAAGCACTTAAAACAACAAAGTGAACTGAGTGTCGTGGTAATTCCCGATTGCAGGCAGAACTTCACCTTCGAGCTTTGGATCCATGGCCAGATTCTTTAAAGTTGTCGGATTGTCCAGATTAAAGTACCCCCGATGCCCTTTCCATTTGCCGCCATCCTCGTCGTTGTCGTCGAGGGAGAAGTCCCTCGTGTACATATTCACTGCCTGGTCTTTCTCCCTGATCTCCTTTGCCCACGACATCACGAACAACGGGCAAGGTACTCTTCGACCACCACCTTATTGTTTGTCTCTAGATAACGCTTCTCCTGCTGGTACTTTTGGAGGTCGCCATCTGGGTACACATGAGGACAAACTGCCACCTCAGATTGAAGCTGCGAACGCTAGTTGTTGACTGCAAAATCAACTCCATCTCAAATTTTTTGTTCTCCTTACCACAAATTTGGAAATAAATACTATTGAAATTAGCTCCTTCTCGAATATGTTGTTCTCCCGTACCATAATTTTGAAAATAAAATCGATTGTGCTTTTTGTTTAGAGAGGAGAAAATGGAGAGGGCTAGGGTTTTTTTAGGGCAAGGTTAGGGCTGAAGATCGCAGAGAAAAATGGACAGTCTTTTTCTTCAATCTCTTTCTATCAGACGTACCTCAAAATCGGGCGCCCTAACCTGAGAGAGACCCCTTTGGAACCGGTTCAGGCAGCTCTAACTGCAAGCTTTTTAGACAGGAGCACAGTGGTTCCGCCGCGCGGCAAGAGGCATCGAGTTTGACAGTGGCGGTGGGCTGTAAACCACCAAAGGTGATGTCGCGAGACGCTGCAACATCGAGAGCTGATAAAAAAAATGGGAGACAATTTTAGGGGTTGGCGAGTTTTCTTCTCTGAATGGCGTGTGCAGATGGTAAAAAATCTGACAGCCAACCTGCATTTGAGGAAGAAAAAGACGACCAAAATAGTGCCATATCGAAATGACAAAACTAACCTCCAAAAGGCAGAAACGTCTGAGGATATTTCAGTAACTTGAAAGCATACAAAATGTAGTGGCAAAAATGTAAAAAAAACATGACACAATGGGACACGTGTCGACCAGCCAAATGGGCGAAAAGGGACACGTGTCAACGCCACAATGTGCCTAACTCGTTCATATAAGATATAAGAGAGATATTAAGTATAACAAAGGAGCATAATAATTAAACTGTTTTATGATAGAAAATTTTATGAAGTCTGAGATTCTATAAGAAAAGTGTTGTAGTTTGATAAATTTAGACAACCAATTACAGTGTGATTTTATGAAAAATTAACAAAATTTCATACAATAGTAGGAATTTTCCAAAAATAAGATGTATTCGATTTTGTTATAGAATTTTGAAAATTAATACTCCCTCCTTTTTTAAATAAATGTCGTTTTGACTTTTTTGATTCATCCATTTTGCTATGTATCTAGACATATTAATGTCTAGATACATAGCAAAATGGATGAATCAAAAAAGTCAAAACGACATTTATTTAAAAAATGAGGTAGTATGTATTAAGCCTAACAAATATGAATAATTAGATAATATTATCAGTGAATTATATGATATATAATTACTAATTAGAGTGCTTAATTTTATGATGAAGATATTATCTCAAAATATTGTGTTTGATTTTGTTTCTTTTAATCAATAAACGACTTACGATTGTTAATGTAGGGAAACAAATCCAAACACAATGTGGAGCCATGATTTTTTTTTTTTTTTTTCAACCATATAAATATTATAAAATAAAAAGTACAAAAGTGCGAATACACAGCAGCCAACGGCTGAAACTACAGCAGCCAACAACTGAAAAAAAACAGGGAGGACAGGTCAGGAGACCGCCTAGAATTCCGACTAGCAAAGCTAGAATAAAAACACACGCGACTAAACTAACCAACAACACAAACAACTAAAAGGCCCCAACAGAGTAATACCCGAGTGTCGGATCCCAACAGGGTAATACCCAAGTGTCAGAGCCCAACAGGGTAATAAAGAGACACTCGGGTGCTGTTTGACACACGGGCTCACAGAGGCCAACGGCCCAGACCAAAAACACAAAACTAGAGACACAAACCGGACGTACACCCA